AAATAATTTTAACAGAATAATGGATAATTATAACTAAACTCATGAATCCAAAAGCTCGGTGACAAGCTCTGTCCAGGAGCAAGGATCATAGCCTAAGGGATGCTCCCGATTAAACAAAGGGGAAAACAAGGAACCCAAAATGGCCTGACTGGCCCCTGCTGCTCAGGCTCCTCATGTATGCTCAACCTGCAGAGACCTGAAAGTAGATGAGGGAGACGCATGGGATGATGGATAATCTTTTGAAATTTCCGGTGGTGACGTTTATTTTCTCTTGGTCAGAAATTAATTGTCATTCAATTTACAATTTCTCTTTAAAGAAAGTGGTTCATGTAGATATTTTGGGAATCATTTTACTTCATTGCCCAATTAAAGTCAGAATCTGAGCAAAAAAATCTGGAGGAAGTAAACAGCCAATTTGTGAAGGAGATAACTGATCCAAGTTGCTCTGTGAAAGCAAATAGTTTAAATTAACAATTTTCCTACATTTCCCTATCTCAGAAGACAGAAGTCATAACACGTTACTTTTTGCAATTTAGTCGTACACAAGCACAAAGCCTATGTTCCAATATTTCCACCGTCACAATTTACTGGGATTTTGACTTTCAGTGCGGTGAAGTTTTTATTGATCACATCTTTCTTTCAGCTTCGGCACTACTGAACTTGAACATTTTCTTCTGCCTGCAGAACTTCATCAAAAAGTACCATCCAATAGCACCCAGAGTCATCAATCCAGCGACCAAATACACCATCTTGGTAGCAAAGACCATGATAACCACCAAGAAAGCAGATGGTATAAAGCACATTACCACTAACGCTGGTAGCCTCAGAGGAACCCTGTAAGGCCTTTTCATTTCTGGCAGTTTTCGCCGAAGCCATAAAAATGATGCAAATTCTAAGAACATACCTAGAGTATACAAGAGATTTGATGAGGATATGATGTCTGTAAAAGTCATGTAGGAGACACTGAGTGAGATCAAAGTTGAGGTCAATATCCCCACCCAAGGAGTATTGAACCATTTAGATCTGAGACCAAAGAAGTTAGGCAAAAGGCCTAAATCTGCCATACCATCAAGTTGAAAGGCAGTGCTGCTCAATTGAGCTTCAAATAAACCAACTGATGATAACACAGCACCAACTTCAATCCAGATTTTAAGCCATTTTCCAGCAATCATCTCTGCAGCAGTAGCATGGAACCCTTGAGCCCATTCACTTTGGTCAACAGTGACACTACCAGTGACAGCAAAGAGGGGAATCAGGTAAGCTATACAGGTGAAAATCACAGCCACAAGTAGGCCCAGGGGAAATGTTTTATGGGGTCTATCTACTTCCCCAGCTAAAGTACTAACATTGTCAAAAAAGTTCAAATTCCAGAAAAGAGTATTGAAATACAGATTCCAATCTTTCTTAACCCCTTTCTGCCCCAAACTGAGCCATCTATGTGGATGGATCTTGGGGATTGCAATAGCAGACATTAATATAAATGGTGAAAGGGAGGCAATACCGAGCAGAACAGCAGCCCATCCAACTATGGTTAATCCAGTAAAGTTGAGAAAGGATAACAGCAATGTCGAAATCAAAATAGAGATATTTCGAGGCCAACCTGATCCCAGAGCAGGGATGATCTTTTTCAGATAATCTATGCACAGAACCGGGAAAGACGCAATATTGATGACACCACTGAGGAATTTCAATGAACCCATCATGGACCCCAAGAAGGGGCCAAATGCTCGTTCAACCCACAAAACAAACCCTCCATTCCCCGTAAAAGCGGTGGAGAGCTCCGCCGTGATTAAAGCTTCCGGGATACTCCAGATGAAGGGGAACACCAGGAATCCAATAAGAGCTAAAAGGGGTCCTGCAGCCTGGACAGCCGGCTCTTCCCCAAAGGGTCCACCGGCAACTTCAAAATAAATGAGGAAGATGAGTGGGACGAGGTTTAGCCTTTTGGGCGGCTTGGGGTTGGTGGTGAGCGGAAGCTCTTGAGAGACTTCCGTTGGGTTTTGCATGGCGGTTTCTGGGAAGAGACTTGACTGGATTTCTACTTGGGGGATGACTGGTTTTAGAGTGCTTCCGTTTCGGAAGTAACGCATATAGGCTTGTGTTTGTTTCACCGGAAAAAAAGGCAAGAAAATTGGGATCACATGATAAGAGAATCATTGAAATAAGATGGTTTAATTTAATAAATCACTTATTAATTATTATTATTTTTTTATTTTACTCTAAATACTTTACTTTCTTTCAAATTCACCTATTAATTTTTAAAACTATTTCATTTTCGTCCGTGCACTTAAATCCATTAACAGAGTTAACGAAATTTTACATACAAGATCACGTGCTGCCATGTAAGCAGCCACATGGCAGGAGCAGATTTCTAGCAGCAGCATTATTTTTCTTTCTTTTCTTTCTTTTTTTGTCCACATGGCAGGAGCAAATTTC